ACCGGGTATATGGAATACCCGACCGGGTATTTGCGAGTTTTGCAGCAATTTCCTTTGTCACTTCATACCCGGCCGGGAAAAGTCCATACCTGACCGGGTTTTACATAAAACTCAAGTTTCTTCATACTTTTTGCTTCCAAACCTATCCTAAACTTAAAGCTCAACTAGCTACAACTTACAACACACAATAAAATGCTAGAAATACAATTACAATTAAAGGCAAACTAACAACTACAAACTTGCACAATACTAGTAAATAAACATTACAAACAATAATAAAAATGTATACTTAGACACTAACAACTAGTGTCTGTCAATCTACTCTTACTTCTCATGGCAAATGCATTTTTCATTTGAGTTCTTCCCTATATATTGATTATAATCTACACAAGATTATAATCATTTAGTATTGGGTATGTTGGTAATCATGCATAGAGAGTTTAATTTGGTAACTCTTTGACTGGTCACCATTGTTTAAATGTAGTCAACTTATGTATGTATTTTTACTTTTTTTAAGAGTGTATTTTTATTTGATAACTGATTACTTATTCTTTGAAGCAACTAATACATTACTATTTTTCGTTTCATTCAATTAATATTAGGGGGTTTGACCTTAATATTACTAATAAATTGACAATGCGAAAAAATGACATTCTTTTTAAATTTCCAAAAATGTGACTAATAATAAGTAATAAGTTTATGTTGAAGATAATTTTATTGTAAATTAAGTTTGTCGGTTTTGTCTGTAATAGTCTAGTTTACTATTTTCATTATGCACTAATATACTGTATCTCTTAGAATAGTATTTTATATGGGCCAAGTGTTAGGCTCATACAAAAGGCTAAAAGCCTTTTACGCATACCTGAACCTCGCCTATAAAAGGGAGCCGAGGATTCAGGTCTAGGTTAACTTTCATACTTATTCCAAATAGCCTTAGCGCAAATACTTTTCTGTACGAGTTCACGGTATATCAAGGAAGGTTTACATCGATATTTATGTGTTCATCTTTACTGTTAATCTTCATTTTGTTATACTGCTATTCATTGCTGTAATAGAAAACAGGGACTAACAAATGGTATCAGAGCCGATCGAGAGCTGATCAGAAGAACGCCTGCAGAAAACTTCTGTTTTTCTTTACGTTGTTTTTTTCTGTCGAGTTCTTACTTTGTAATCTTGTTTCTTGTTTAAAAGTTGTAAAAGTTATACCCTTAGAATCGTCGTTTCGAAACGATCGAGGTGTATACTTCAGATTTCTTTTACTGTAATCTTTGTACTTGAGATATCTCGAGAACCATATGTCGACATCTAGGATTTGAACAGGTTCTGCCAAGTATTTCGAGCTGAAAACTTCACCTGAGGATCTCGACATCATACTCTACAAGAAACTACCTTCAGATTTTGCTTATCTGATTTTTACAGTTTGCAGGATTTCGACATTTAGGATCTCGGCATCCAAATCTCGAGATCGAGGTTTCGATTTTAAGGTCTCGACTTCTCATCCTCGACATTTGACATCTCGAAATAATATTTCGAGTTTCACTTCTCGACATCTCAAATCTCGAGATTTGCTTCTCGACATTTGAAATCTCGAGATTTCAAAACTCGACATCCTAATTTCGATATCAAATCTCGAAACCGAGCCTCCTTTATCGAAATCTTAGATCTCTATATTCAGATCTCGACATCTGATTTTCGACATTCTGTCTTTGAAAATCTTTTGATCAAACATCTCGAACGGTCAGTTTTATACAACAATGGCCTCTGAATACAATGCTCAAGGGAACAGCAGTACTCCTCCCAGTCTTAGGAAAGGAGAATACCAGATGTGGAGAAATCGATTCCTTAATTTCCTTAAGCACAAAGAAAACTCCGCTGCAATGCTTGAATCATTGCTTGAAGGATCAGCTGAACCGATGATTTCAGTTGGAGGAGATCCAGAAAACAACCCACCTATTCCTCCAGAAAGGAGACGGAAAGTGGCATCCGAATATACCGAAGCTGACAAGCTCAGGCTTCGAGGTGATCTCATGGCCAAGACGTACCTCCTTCAAGCAATCCCAAACGAAGTATATGTGCTCATCGACAACATGCAAACGGCAAAGGAAATGTGGGATGAGATTGAGAAACTGCTCCAAGGCACAAGCATCAGCCTTAAAACCAAGAAGACAACAATCCTCATTGCCTATGACTCCTTCAAAGCTGCCCAGGGAGAACCATTGAACGAGACTTACAACAGACTCGTCGAACTGATCAATGAACTAAGGAAAATCAAAGTATTCAGGTCCAACTTGGAACTGAATATAAGATTTCTATCCAGCTTACATCCTGCATGGGAAAAGACAGTGAAGCATGTTAGATCACACATTGACTTGGATGAAATTGACCTCTGCACTCTTTATGAACATTTAAAGCAATTTGTCAATGAGGTTGCTTGTGTCGAGGATCAACACAGCTCAAATCCCCTGGCTCTAGTGATGGAAGCTCAGCCCAGAAGGACAACCACACCGCTGAAAAAGAAGAAGAAGAAGGTGGTGGTTGAATCAGATGAAGATGAGAGTGATGATGACAAATCTGACCTGGAGGCTGAGCTTGCAGACCTACAGAAGAAAATGACACTGCTTGCCAAGAGATTTGCAAAGAAGAATAGCTCCTCCAACAAGCTGAGAACCTCCTCCTCAAACAATAAACAGAAGAACCATGATCAAGGATCTTCTAGGAAGGCACCATCAGCTGAAGATGCCCTCAAATGCTACAACTGTGGAAAGACTGGACATGTCATCAAAGACTGCCGCCTCCCAAAGAAGAAGGATGCAAACTTCTACAAGCAGAAGATGCTTTGGAATAAGCAGAAGATGCTGATGGTGCAGAAAGAAGAAGAAAAATCTGCAATGCTTGCTGAGAATGATCAATGGGCAGAAGACACTTCTGATGAGGAGGAGGAGGAAGAAAACTATGCCTTGATGGCACGAGTGGAGGAAGAAGATGAAAGAAAGGGTGATGTTGCGATCCCCGAAAGTGAATGCTCAACAAGCTCTGTAAGTACCTCTTATCTACCTTTAAATAATCAAAATCAATCCTTACTTGAGAAGGACAATCTAATTAAAGAACTAAATGAGAGATTAGACAATAATCACAGGGTACTGAAACAGAATTTAGACCAAAAGTCTTCTCTAAGTGTTCAACTTGAAATTGCGAAAGATCAGGTCAAAAAGGTGTCCTCAGATTTTGAAAGTTTTGAACTGAAGATAGCTGAATTAACTAAGAAATTTGAGGACAGTGAACGAGAGAAAAGCACAGCAAAGGCTGAATGCGATTTTTTGCATAATAAAAGAAGAACACTTTTAAACAAAATAAAAGAACTAGAGGATCTAGCTGCTAGGAGAGGTCAGTCTGAACAGACAATTTTTCTTAATCGAATAAAGGATGACCGATTTTACAATCCTAGAATAGGACTGTGCATAACCAACCCATGTAATCTAAAGAAAGTTAATTGTCTTCAAATTTATAACAAAGATTACATGGGACTAGGGTTTGGTGAGAAAAAGTATTTTAGAAGTGATGAAGAAAACACAGAAGCAGAAGAAGAAAAGAGAAAGAACCCTAAAGCTGCGATTTCTTGTGATTATCCTTCTGTTAATGAAAAACAACTCACACAAGAAGAACCTAGTTCCTGCTTTAGTGAATGTCTTGACCCTTATGCAAAAGATATTCCACACATAGGACATCCTCTAGACCCACCCCCAAGAGTAGGTATCTCTAAAACTTGAGAGGAACCCTGTATTTTCCCTATGGCACAAAAACTCAAAAACCTCCAGAAAACTCTTGACAACGAGAGAGAGAGATTTGAAACAGAAAAGAGAGGTTTTGAGAGTAACTGGCAGGAACTTCTTCAAAAATTTAATGAATTAAGTGAGCAATATCATGCTAAAACAGCCCCTCCTACTTCTAATAATAAATCTGAAAATTCACACACCTCACCTGAGAAAACAAAGCTTTCAAAAAGTTCGTCTACTCATCACTCTTCTCCTTTGCTCACAGGGAAAGAAGTGAAGAAGGAAGGAGAAGAGAAGAACGAGTGGAGGAAGAAGAGGAAGGAAATCGCAGAAGGCAAAAAGAAAGTTTTTGAGAATAAAGCCAGCTCTAGATCCAGTTCTATTTTTTATTCTAAAGTTAAATGTAATTCTGTCTCTGAGAAACAAACTTCTAGTAGTTCAGTCTTGAGTCCCAAGCTGAATATTTCTGAGACATCTTTTGGACATCGTTCAATTCATAATTCGAGTATTGCTTATGGTTATTCTGTTCCAGACCCTCATAATTATGAATGTGATGTGAATGTTGTTAAAGCAAAGCCTCACAGAAAGCTCAAACCAAAAAGGGAAACCGAGAACAGAACTTCTAAGGAAATATTTTGTATACCTGATATGAAATATCCCCTCCGAGTTCATTCAAGGAAACATCTTAATCGGCTTTCTAAGGAGGAAATTTTTAAAACCCAACTTAAGAAACAACCATTCAATCACAAAGCACGTGTCTACTCTCCTCCCAAAACTAAAACTGACAGGTGGGTCCCCAAAAACAGACCCACCAAAACTGAAGCTGAAAGGTGGGTCTCCAAGATCAGACCTACCAAGCCTGAAACTGAAAGGTGGGTCCCCAAGATCAGACCCATCAAAACTAAAACCGAAAGGTGGGTTCCCATGAACAGACCCACCAAGACTAAAACGGAAAGGTGGGTTCACAAAATCAGACCCACCAAAATGGAAACTGCTAAGTGGGCTCCAAAAACCAGACCCACTGCAAAAGCAGATCTAGCTATTAGAGAGCCCGTGAGAGAAATATCTTTTGTTGAAAAAGCTGTTGACCTTGGATCACAGCTAAAAGCAAGAATTAAAAAGGTGTTTTTTGTTAATAAGGAAGGACCCACTCCCAGATGGGTACCTAAACCTGTTTAATTGTTTTGCAGGACGGTCATGTGTGGCACTTAGATTCAGGATGCTCAACCCACATGACCGGAATAAAACATCTGTTGAGCAACTACACCAATTGTTACGGAGGGAATGTCAGATTTGGAAATGACGCCTCTTCTCCTATTCTTGGATATGGGGACGTCATCTGTGCCAGTGTCACTATCAAAGATGTTTCTTTTGTCAAAGGGCTCAAACACAATTTACTGAGCATAGGGCAATTCTGTGACAGCGGGATGGAAGTGAGGTTCTTTGCAAGACAATGTTGTGTTCTAGACAGCATGGGGAATACATTATTAACGTGTTACAGAACTTCAAATTTGTACATTATTGATCTGAAAAGCGTACAATCCACCACTTCCATCTGTCTGCTGTCCAAAGCTTCTACAGAACACAACAACCTTTGGCACAGACGTCTTTCCCATCTGAACTTCAAGCATCTATCAATCCTTTCCTCCAAGAAACTTGTAAAGAGGCTTCCTCTGTTAAAGTCTTCCGCTGAGAATCATTGTAGTGCCTGCAAAATGGGCAAAATGACGCGAAGCTCCCACAAGTCAAAAACTGTACCATCATCTACTCACCAGCTGCAGTTAATTCACATTGATCTGTGTGGACCTATGAGAGCCCAAAGCATCAACGGTCGCAAATACACTCTGGTGATCGTGGATGACTTCTCTAGGTACACATGGACAAAATTTCTCCGCTCAAAGGACGAGGCTGCAGAAAACATTATGACCTTTATCAGAACCATCCAGAAACTGCTACAGCACAGCGTTCGAATAGTAAGAACTGACAATGGTACCGAGTTCAAAAATCAAACTCTCACTGATTTCTATTAATCTCTCGTTATCACTCAGCAATTTGCAGCAGCTAAAACTCCACAACAGAACGGAGTTGTTGAGAGAAAGAACAAGACTTTTGTTGAAGCAGCACACACAATGTTAATTCAATCCAGACTGCCTCACTTCATGTGGGCAGAGGCAATCAATACTGCGTGCTTCACCCAGAACAGAACATCCATTCATAAACGCTTCGACAAGACTCCTTATTAAATTCTCTTCAACAGAACTCCCGACATCTCCTTTTTCAAGATATTTGGTTGCAAGTGTTTCATACTGAATGATCGGACAGAAAGAAGTAAACTGGACTCCAAAGCCAGAGAAGGCGTGTTTATCGGCTACTCACTGCAGTCCAAAGCCTACAGAGTCTATCTAAGAGACAAGCGCACTGTCATCGAGAGTGTAAATGTTACATTCTATGAAATGGCAGACTTCGCAATCGAACATCTACAGGCTGATCCATCACATGCTGAACCAGTGGTTTCTGATAAAGCTGATCCGAACTTAGAACACGAAGATGTGATTCTTAATTCTCTTTTCAGAAACTTCTACGAGAATTCACAATCTTCATCTCCTCCTCCATGCACACCAGCTTCAACATCAACTCCAATAGCAGAGATTCCGCTCCTCAGGAGCAACATAGTTTGGAGTTCCACAAGTGGTATGAAGAAGTTCAACTCCCTGAAGATGAGTAAAAGTTAAATCATTAAAGGTTTTTCAAGTCAAGAATGAGAAAAGGTGGGGTGTTAGGGGCAGGGGTGGTTAAAGTCAATGCCAAGTCCCTTACTTGCATAGGTAATGCACTCAATCCAAAATCAGAGACCTTCAGGTTCCCGATGGAATCAAGAAGCAGATTCTCTGGCTATTAATCAGTGAAAAAAAAACAATCAAATTACGCGTAAACCATTAAATAGCTGCACTTCAGTATAGATTATTGACAACACTATCAATAATTGCCTCACACCTTAAGGTCACGGTGGTATACACCCTTACTATGACAATGTGCAACTGCATCAATAAGTTGTTGGAAGTAGCGCCGCGCCTCATCCTCACGAAGTCTGCCTTGATGAACCTTTCCTCCATGCATAACATATCGAGCAAAGAAAATTATAATTTCTTTGCAAAATGTGTTTTGATGAAAGAGTTTGCACTTCAACTATAGAACTATGCAACATAGGTAACAATTTTCTTAGTCATCAGCACCTTAATCCCCACAAGTTCAAGTCATTGGCGTAAAATTTATAGTTTGGACTAATCACCTAACATTAGTTTACACTATAAACTCATGCAGAGAAAAAAGAACATTGGTGCCAAATACCATTCCTCAGAATTTGCTACTAAGGATGTTTTTAATTAGACTGAAATTTTGTAGTCTGGTCTGGTAAATGTCTGGTTCATGTGTATTTTATAACTGTCGAAGTCTGGTCTAGTCTGGTCGATTTAAGTCTGGTATAGTATGGTTTAGTCGTCTCGTCTCGGACTGAAATAAGTCGAAGTAAAAACTACCTAAGTATTCCCCCCGTCCCATAAAATTCATGACAAGGAACATACACATACATTATGGAAGAGTGGAATGGTGTGGTTAGCATTGAATTCCTAAAAATATGGATGACATTTTGCAAAGTGTCATCCGTACTTTGGTTAGTTTGGTAGGATTAAAACATTTTGGGACGGAAAAAATGAAAAATGGTAAATAATAAACAAGACTCTTAAAATGAAAGAAAATCAAGGAAGAGAAAAAAAAAATCAAAAGAACTTCGTGAACAACAAACTGTATTAAGATATAATCAAAGTCTCATCTCTCAACATTCTTTATACAAAGTATGATGCTAGGCTAAGTTCAGCAATATGGCAAAAAAACAAATTGTAACTATATGGAGATAACTAATCACTCTATAGAAACTCATGAAAAACTATAATAAACATTAGTTGGAATATCCTTACAATCTTGTCAAATAGTACTCCTCCAGATACAAATTCCAAAACAAAATATAGTTTTGTCTGGCTAGATAAAACCTACACCATATTAAGACAGATCAAGGTTAATGAACATATGTGCATTGAGAGAATGTATAAAACCATGTACGGTAAAACAAAGCGTTCCTAACAATGGTAACTATGGGTGGACAGAGTAAAGCTGAACTGACCCGGCACTAAAGGGTGCCAAACCAATCAAAAGAGAACTGAGTCCACTCCTAAGGGTAATTTATACATGATAAAACCTTAGTGTACCTCATGGAGCTTAACAATGCAAGGATGCCTGAGAATCTTCATTATAGATATCTCTCTTTTGATCTAAAAATCACCTCAAAAAAATGTTAGCAAGGAAAAGCTAATAATCATCTTTTTCTGACATATAGTCTATGACATATTAAAAAAATAAATTATCCACACAACATGTCACTAAGATTTTATTTTCCCCTTTTTCAGAACCACAAGTTATAACAAACATCAAATAGAAGCGCTTCTACTTCCTGAGAACATTTTCAGAAATAAATAGTGGCACTTCTAGGTTCTAATAGAAGTGGAATTACTATCATCATCTCATCAGTTGAAAAACAATCAATATTTAGGGTCTCTTTTTGTTTTTTGTAAACACCCCCCTCTCCCAAGTACACTTTTTTACAAGTTAGCTGAAGTTACTTCTTAGACAGCTCTGCCACAATCTGCAGTCTATAACTCCGGAAGACTAATTCATGAAATTGTATCAATGAACAGGGAAAATCAAGGCTAGCCATCAAGATTAGTATTCTAAAATAGGCTTGATTAATTTTCTATTTTATAAATGATATATCTTTGCTTTCAAGTACTCATTTTGTGTTTACGAGTTCTATAACATTCCTTTCTTTTAATTTCCAGCACATTTGTCTTCTCAATCGCCCAAGGCAGCTCCACCATCGTCCTATACAATACCTCAATCTCGTCAGAAAATATCCCAAGAACATCACACTATCATATAAGCTATGGCAGGTCAAGTGACATGCTACGGAGCATTACTGGAAGAATTCAAGGATTATTATAAAGGCACAGCGTCAAAAGCTGCAAATCCACGAGAACCATAAACTAAAGAACAATATGGATCAAACAACAGTGAATACCTACCTGTTCAACCAATTGGTGCTTAAGAATGGTGCTCTTGGCTAAAACTTTAATTGCAACGCTTTCACCTGTCTCCGTGTTCTGGGCAAACTTAACTTTAGCAAAAGTTCCTTCTCCAATGGTTCTGCCAAGTTCATATTTACCCAATTTTTTTTTCACCCTCTCCATCTCTCTTGCTCTCCTTCCAGCGCCAAGCCGCCAAGTATCAAATTATCTCAGTCTGTCGGGTGAAAGGCTTTGCAGGAGAACGAAACTCAAGATTTATTAGGCAACCATGATTGATAAGTGAAAATTGTACGGAGTATTGATGATGTTAATTCAGTTTTTTTACTGCAACCAGGCAGCATCAATATATCCATCTAGTATAGGGGCCGTTTGGAACACTAATAATAGGCTCATAAGCCTCAGAGTGCATATTAAATCACCAAACACCTATCAAATTGGTTACTTGAGCTGAATTTTCTTATCAGCTGAAAAAACAAGTGCTCTGTTACTTTTCTAGCTTATTTTTATTATTCTACTGTTGCCGATTGCAAAGACCCCTTCACCCCGGTATCACAAGAACACAGGGTTCCCTTATCCGCGTTTCCTTCTCTGCGGTTGAGATAAACATGATTTCGAGATTATTTATTCACCTCAAGTTTGTCTTTGTTCTTCTTATGCATAATATCTCATGGGTTTGAATTGTTCGTATTCACCTCAAGTATGTCCTTGTGCTTTAGTTTCCCGATCTGTGTTCCTTCTCTTTGTTCTTTTATATGTTTTCAATTCTTTGTTCTTTCAAGAATTTCTGATTTTCTTCTCTTAAACAAACCCATTTTTTAGTTAGTTTTGGAAATACTGTATCTTCTAAGTGGGATATGAAAAAATCCGTACATTGGATGTTGAGTTTCAAGAAGAAAGGATGTATTGCATTTTCAAGGACAATAGCAAATATAAGGGCATGCTTACTAACAGATATATTTTCTAATTTTTCAGAAAACTGGAAACCTAGAAAACAGAAAATATGAATCGTGTTTACCAAAGAAAATTGCTGGAAAACTGGAGAAAAGAAAACAGAAAAACACATTTACCAAACCGTTTTACAAAACGAAAAAAATGAGATATGTCTCTCATTTCCTTAATGATTTGGAGAAGTGACTTTTACTAGTTTTCCAAATTTGGAAAACGCAGATGCTACAGGCCGCTGCAATGAATTTGCATACTTACACCTAGTGGTGGGTTCGGTCCCGCTCTGATGTCGATTCCATTCTAGTACCTCCATTATCATACCTTACCCTTACCCTACCCTACCCACCCAACCCCCACCCGCATACCCCTTTCCCTACAATGACCCTACCCCCACCCCCTACCACATGCCCCTACCTCAGTCCCACCACGATCCACCACACCATACTGCCACCCCGACCCACCCTACCCTACCCCCACCTCGTATATTACCCCTTACCCCTACCTTATCCCTTCCCACATGCCCCCTACCTCGGCCCCACCCTACCGTCATCCTATCCCAACTCCCTACCCTACCCCTACCTTACCCCAACCCTGCTCACTACCCCCATCCTTACCCCTAAGCACCACCCTAACCCACCCACTACCCCTGTAACACCCGCAAATTTCCCGCCCAAAACGTTGACATAATTGAAATAAAACTTTTATTTATTCATCAAAGAGTTGAAGAAATACAGCGGAAGTCTAAAATAGGAAATGAGTGTTACCGCCACATCCGGTCATCTCTCAACCGGATGCACAGACAACTAAAAAAAATAACAACTAATTTAATAAAAGTAAAGTGTTTGAAAAGTAAATGTTTATTTCATGACTAATATAACTAAGGTGACTTCTAACTCGCTCTCGGCCGTGCAAGCAATCATCACTCGACAACATCATCTTCACCTGCACAAATAAAGTGCAGAAACAAAACAAGGAAAAGAAAACAAAAATTAGCTTTAGAGCTAAGTAAGTACTACCCAACCCCGTAAAATAATCATGTTTGACAAAAATAGAATTTTTATATAATAATATATAAAAATACTCACACCATCGAAATTCTTTTCACTTTGATTTTTCTCAAGACTACTTCTTTACAAAAATCCTCAACTTCTCCATAAAACTTCATAATAACTCTTCTCTTTGATTTCCTCAAAAATCACTTCTTCTCTAACTTCCTAGTAATTTAGAAGGGCGGTGCTCAACCTTTCGGTAGAGCCCGGTGGACCGTGGTTACGGACGGCCACCCCGAACAAGTGCCGATACCACAACTGCTCTGTTGGAAACGAAACGACTACCTTAAGTGTGCACACCCCTTAAAAGGGATTCCAAGCCCTCCGAGTAGTAAGTCGTAACGAGTAGTCGGGACTCAGTCTACCAACTACCCCTGAATAAGATATTTTGAATGATTAGGGATTACTACTACCATAACTTCTTCTTAAAGGGATCATCGATCCAAATATTACTTTAAACTCAAACTGTACTTCTTAGTAGTAGCAAACCTAATCACCCTCCACATTTATCCGGACGTGGAAAACCGACACCTCGGATTACTCCCGAGATGCTCACTTCTTATAAAAATGTAAATTTTATCTTCGCTTAACAATACTTCAAAAATACTTCTTAATTTCTCTAAAAAGTCTTGAAGGTATTTAAAATATTTAATACCCCAAAAGTACTTAATTTATATTTCTCAACAACCCTACATATAATATCTCTTCACAATTCTCATACACAAAATTCAACAATTCACACTTATTCACATAATGCATAATAAGCATATAATACGAGTAAACAATTTTGGATTGGCAGAGGAACTTACCTCAAATTCAAGAATCTGTAATTGTCTCATCTACCTCGACTTCACCGAAATAACCTTCTAAGAATATAAAATTCTAAAATTAATAATTATTCTTATTCTTAATTAGCCCCTACCCAATTCAGTTACTCAATTTTTAGGAGTTCATTACAAAATCTTATTCACGTATTATCATTTCTCAAATTAAGTCCAATAAGCCATTTAACTAGCTAACAATTATCATTAATCAAGTCCATGGGCTCAGATAGTATTAGAACAAGTTACGTATTATTATTAGTAATTCTCTAGTATTAGTTTTGCCCAGTATAAAACTAACGGCTCAGCCCAAGTACATAATAGCAGTACATAATACGGAGTATGAAGTACGAACTACGTACGTATGATCGTCTTCCTCGTCGTTCCCAGCCGGCATGCGCAGGTGGCGCCCTCCTATGGAAGCAGCAGGTCAGATCAGATGTTGGCAGCCTCACTTCCTTCCTCCGTAGGTGATGGCGGCACGAGAAAACTCCTCCACTCTAGCGAAGGTGGCGCGGCTTGGTTCTTTCTCTTCCGGCGGCTGCGCAGTCCGGTCGGCACCATAACCTTGCGACTTCAGGAGCGACTCTCTCTGTCCGGCGTTGGTTAGCTATTCTGGTGGCAGATATCAGTGGTTTGGTGATCGACGGCAATGGGTTGGTTGTCCCAGGGTCACTGCTCTCGACTCTTGTTGCGGTAACAACTCCGGCGATGCTCTGCTCCGGCAAGACGTTGAAATCTTTGATGGCGATGCTACTCCTCCACTCCCTATTCCGGCGAAGCATCAGTAGGCAGTTGATGTAGGGGTGTGTTTTTTTTCCTTTAGTTTGGGCAGAGTAATCACCGATTACATGCGTATATACGAAGTAATATAATATATACACGCAGATTCGTTTGGTACTATATAGAAAAAACTCCTTGGATTAGCACAGCTTATATACTCACGTTAGGAAGACTCTAGATATAGCATTAGGTCCAATCATGTCATATGTTTACAAAATCTTTTGCATTTATTCTTATTCATTAACTTTCCTTAATTTGATCGTTTTGCACGTTTAAGGTTTATGGTGTCCGATTCTTATATATGGAAAAGCTGAGGTTTACCCAATTACCCCGAATTGTTACTATTAGTGCATGTTAAAATCGGCATGTTTATGCGGATGTCATGTATGGTAGGTTTAAGTTTTATCATTTATGTTATTACGCAGGTTGAGCCATTTTCACGTGTGTATGTATACTATTGAGCATGCATACATGTGACAACATTCATGACCTCGGTTGGAAGTCAACTCTTGCATATTTGTTGATATTATTAGTTTTTATTCATTTATTTATAACATTAGTTTTTGGTGTATGCATACGTGTCGGGACATATACTAATTAAAAATTGTTATATGTCACTTTTATTGTATCTTAAAATTATCTAATTAACTATTTTTATTTTATTTAATTTTTTGGGGTGTCACAACCCCACCCAACCCCGTACCCATAGACCTTACCACCCACCACCCACCCACCCACCCCCAAACCATACCTTCCTTCCCTAGTGTGACCCCTACGAGTAGGTATGGGTGGGTATGAAGGGTTTTAGGGGAGTATGGGTAAAGTGTAAGATCGTGATAAGGGTAGGGGTAGGGGTGGTGTGAAATTGGGTGTAAGGTGTAGGGTGGGGGTACGAGGTATAGAGGCAGGGTAGGGGTTAGGAGTATGGGTACACGTACGAGGTGATCGCCCCCACATATTATATTATATATTTGTGTTCATGAATGTTTGTGTGTCTATATATGTATAGGGTTATTTTGGACATTTTAACGCTAAACGGTGTTTAAACCTTTTGAAGTAAACACGATCTTAAAATTGATGAACATGTTTTCGGATTTGAAAATGGAAAACTATAAAATTGTAGGATGATAGATTTATGGAAAAGCTTGGGTTGGTTTTCTAGTTTCTATCCAGGAAAGCCAAGGATTCAGGGTTGTCGACTGACCCCCTTAAAATTTGAGAGTATAGAGCTCTGAAATACCTTCAATTAGATACATTATGAGTAAAAAGTTATGATTTCTGAAAAATCAACACTCTAAATTTTTAGTAAATCTCTTGTCCAATCCAATGTCTATTTTATCAAGAAGTTTTGTCCGATTTATTTTTAATCACTAACTACACCTCAATCCAAACAGGTACAAAAACCACGGTTCAGATCAAGTAATACCTGCTCAGGGCGGGTAGGGGTCGGGTTCCGATTTTAAAAAATTATAATGGGCTGGGCGGGTAATCCATAATTTAGGTTCCAGACGGTTCATGTATTTGTAAAATACAGGTACCCCACCCAGATTGTTTTTATAATAAAAATCCTAAACATTACTCCTTTTGTCCTGAAATTAAGTTTTATCTTTCTTTTTTGAATTGTCCCAAAATAAAGTTCCCACTTTAAATTCTTTATATACTTAACTAGTAAACTCACACGTGCGATGCACGGTCGGAAAATTTTTCTTTCAAATTTATTTGTGCTCACTAATTCAAATACACTATCAATTAATGATATCATCTGTCTCCATGGAATACTAATATAGATCAAAGCAATGAATGAAACACACTTATAATATTATGGTTAAAAAGAGAGCACTAACCATTACTCCATCCGGTTCTCAAAGAGATTCACAGTTTGACTTCATACAGATTAAGAAAATAAATTTGACTTTACTATGGAGTGCACTGTTTGGCACTGTTTGAACACTGTTTGACACTGTTTTGCACTGTTATGGTGTAGATAATTTGCCAAATAAAGAAATAAGAAGAAGTGTGAAGTTAATTTTGGGACTTCCCGAAAAGGAAAGTGGGAAGTTCTTTGAGAACCGGAGGGAGTACTTAAAAGATAAAAAACATCCAACAAATACTTAGAAACCATAACATTGTAAATATGCATTTCATGTAAACCTAAACATCGTTGAACACTTCTATGTATACAACATTGTGAGTCTTGTCAGTGGTTCCTTCATCTTCATTAACAATTAGAATTTTCAAACTACAACAATTGGTAACCCTTGATACTGCAACATACAACTGTCCATGTGTAAATACCGGTTTTTTCAACAACAACCCAACACGGGACAAAGATTGACCTTGACTTTTATTTATAGTCATAGCGTATGAAGTCATAACACGATATTGTCGCCTTTGAAATTTGAAAGGCAAGGACAATCTATGAATTAATAATTTAAATAAGTGAGTTAAATCCCTATATTAAAAAATAATGGTATTTAAGCACATTAATTTAAAAACACATTTAATCTAGCCACATTGATGCATCAAATAGGTCTTTTTGCCTCCGTTTGTTAACTCGTATTTTTAACTGATAAATAGAAGTATAATTCAAAATTGCTTATTTTAATTATTACAAACTTCAGTGCATGTAATCGTAAATTTCGTGTTTAGCAATAAAGTTAGTTTATTAGTTTAAAATACCATCTCCTTCCCAAAAATCTTTGTAATTTAAAATATTTTGAACCATGATTTTGATTAGAATAAAATTATGGTAGTTATAAATTTTAAACTTTAATGGAATTACTTTTAACAAAGAACATTTTCATATAATTTTATTATTATAAATAATAATAAAAATATGTAGTTTTGAATGTGTTTTGAGAGTGAGGTATGAGTTATTTTTCAATCGGTTAAATTCCTTTTCTCCAGTAAAATTTAGCAAAGATTTTTTCCATATTCAATGGTTTATATAATTTAGTTACGTTGAAGGTAAATTATTTATAATGACTAAGTAATAGGGTGACTTTACATTTATAGGAATTGCATTTGTTAGACGAATTGCCTATGTAAACATGCAAATCGGGGGGTGCAAATATGTGAAATTATGTTATGTCATTCTTAAACTATGCTTAAATATAAATTTATGAGAAAATATTCAAATAGGTCTCTACCATCACGGAGGACACATTAAGGTATTTATGCATTTTTGTTGTTGAAATAATTACCTAATTACGACTAAAATAAAGATTATTTATGAAAATGTGACCTCTTAAGTATTGTGATTACAGTAGTAACTTTAGTCATATAGCTTATGTTCAATTTTTACATCAAGTGACAATGACATTATATCCATAGTAAAGAGTGAGCGAACCATCTAGTACCAAGAAACTCCTTTGCATTCACTCTTTGTTTCCCACCACTCCAGTTATATTTGGAAAGTGCACAATATTAGTACATTGTCCCTAACTACAACACATAATCTTTTTTAAAGAAATCGGACCGAGGAGGAGCTGGACACGTGATTTTGGGCACTCCTGATAATTTTACGCTATTTAGGAATTCAGGTGTATGAAATTCTGTCATAAGATCAGTAGTGGAGTCTACTTTACACACACTATTTGCACAGAGATACGTTCTTGCTACTTCGCCAACATTGAGACTCGTCAAGGAAATAGAGATCCTCTGTATAGGGCAAATGCGAAAATGTACTCCCTTCGTCCCAGTTTACCTGTCTTACTTTCCTTTTTAGGTTGTACCAAAATAAGTGTCACATTTTCATTTTTGGAAAGAAATATGTGGTTCACAATATTTCACTTTATTATACTCAAATCTCAACCACAACTTTTACCTTTTCAACAACTTTATTAAATATTATGCCAAAATCAACTCAGACACATAAAATGGGAGGAGTAGTAATTTTTATTTAGAACAAATAAAACTAACTCACCCATTTGCCGCCCTATCCATTATTTCAATAAGAAGCCCAACCACAACAGCCCACCTTATTACTCCAGACAATCCCTTTTCCGGAGCCAAACCTTCATTTCTACATGACCTCCCTTTTTTACATCCCAAACCAATCGGCCAGCCATAACTCCCCACCATTCCATTTCTTCCGTTCAAAATCAATCGGCCAGGCTAACTCTCCAACCAACCACATCTAAAACCTCACAGCCCGTAATCAACCGCCTCGCTGCATCGTAAGCCTCGTCTGCCGCTCTAATCTCATTAAAAACGGTAAGGATACACTCCCTCTACTACACATCTCAATATCACCGATTAAATGTCCTTAAAACAAACCATTCGGACTTCTTTGTAAATGAACGCATCCCACAGCCTAGAAATCTACCAGATATATGTTTATTCTCACATTAGTTAAGTTTTATTTTCAAAAAATTATTTCGATTATACTGCATGGATTTCATCTATCCGAAAACACAACATCATTCAAAAATCTTTTTTTGAAAATTTAATAATGCATAACGACTCTGAATGTTTTTAAAATCCATCTGCCTTTTTTTTATCGAAAAAATCGATCTGCTTAGAAGCATTAAACTCAAAACTTTTCACTTCATATTTTAGTTTTATATGAGTATCTGTTTTTTTTACGGTTAATATGATAATATCTGAAAGTTATATTACAACGGATGCGACGATTATTATTTTATTCGAGTTTAAAAAAGTGGAGTAGTGAACATTACTTGCTTTAAAATTTTACTTTTGAAAAATGTGAATATTTGATGGGTTGTTCTAAAATAGATTTGAAATTTAATTTGTAGAGAGTTCTAAAATTCTAAAATAAATTAAATGTTACACGTGGCCTTAAATATATGTCACCTGTCATGAGCCTGATCGCAAATTATACCATGCAACCGGCGCACCATGAGGATGGTGCGCCCGGTTGCAAAACGACGCAGCTTGCCACCCCTCCCCCCTTTTTTTTTGTTTTTGTTTTTAAAAAATGATGATAACTTTTTTATTTTTGATCCGATTTTTATAAAATTTATATCAACATTTTTTATTTTTCATGATCTTTCAAATGAGACTAATATTGCTTATGTAATTTTAAGAAATTATTGAACTATTATATTAATGAGTATTGGATTATAAGGAAAATCGAATCTGTTTGGGAGATGATAAGTTTGTGAAATAGAAGATCGAATCTGTTTGGGAGTGGATCAGTGGCCTCAGTTACATTTGATAATACATTGAGTTACATCTTTTTATGAGCGAGTTACATCTTTTTATAAGCAAGTTACATCTTTTTATAAGCAAGTTACATCTTTTTATAAGCAAGTTACATCTTTTTAAAAGCGAGTTACATATATATAAACACGAGTTGCATTTGACATGCATGAACGCGACTTACATATATTTACACGTAAAGTTACATATTTTTACACGTAAAGTTACATATTTATACACGCGAGTTACATATTTATACACACGAGTTGCATTTGACCTGTCTGAACGCGAGTTACATATTTTTTTACGTAAAGTTACATATTGTTACACGTAGAGATACATATTTATACACACGAGTTGCATTTGGCCTGGCTGAACGTGAGTTACATATTTTAACACGTAAAGTTACATATTTTACACGCAAATGTTAATATATTAAAATTACATAGGCAATATTGGTCTCATTTGAAAGATCATGAAAAATAAAAAATGTTGATATAAATTTTATAAAAATCGGATCAAAAATAAAAAAGTTATTACTATTTTTCAAAAACAAAAGGGAAAAAAAAATATAAATACGTACCGGTATACGGTGCTCACCGTATACCGGTCGTACGGTATAGGCACTCGAGCCTGATACATAATACTACGACCGTACACATGCTGCTTCCCATAAACCCACCACCGACCTGGACTTTAATATTGGTACCATTTGGAACCCAATCGGTCTCATTAAATGCCAGGACCAACCCACCCAAACTATGGCTTTAGAACCCGACCAATTCACCATGAACAACATTTCTCCAACGCCAACTGAAGTACTGAACCACAACTCCCTATCGCTACCAACGGCCACAACCATACGGTCCATACCATAAGCCGGTATCACAACAAATCATCCAAAACAATTCAACAAACAATAGCTTTTCTACACCTCGCCCCCAACCACAGACAATACAACCAATTCTTCTTGTAAGGAACCATTTACAGGAAACACTTTAAAACCCCAAGGCCTATATTTTTAATTCAAGGATGAGGCAATAGGTATGGTTATATTTTTCAATTACGCTGTTATATTTCAGCCATGTAAACCACTAATGATTCAACCTTCTATAGTGAAGTTGTTTAACAAAAGAAATTGTTAAAAGATTTGTTTTTATACATCTTTTTAAGAATTTTATTAGATTTTACAGAATCTTAAAAATGAATCTCCACTATATTTGAAGTAGGCACATTAGATTTTACAGAATCTAAAAAATTAATTTCGACATACATTCCTCATACCATAAATTTAAATTCTTTTTAAGTTTTTTCTCCGGAAAGTAGTATGTGTTTGAAATGTAATGAGAATATTATTTACATAAAAGAACTTTCAGTATGAATTACACTGGAATAATATTAATTTTTTTTGTATTGAAACTACACCATAACTAAGATTTCTTTCTTCCAAAGTCCTTGTTTTTTCTTCAGACCGGCCAGAGTGTGAAATTCATTTATACGTTTAAATTACAGGGGAGTGGCTACTTATGTAAAACTTCCTGAGAACGTGTTTTAAAGGGATTTTGATGAACAATTCTTTTTTTGAAAATAAAATGATATTCTTCTTTACCTAAAAATCTACGCCACAGGAAAGTAAGAAGTATGGAGTGCAACTTGCAAGCATGGGGACCGAGAATGCAATGCACACATAAATTTAATGCGAATACTGTAGCTATGAATTTTCCTATGTGTTGATGTGATGTGTGTTACCCGACTTACCTCCATTTTACTATTCATTTACCTCGGCCTGACTGCGAGTGCCGTCACGCCAGCCTGATATGATCGATCCTCTATATAGTATGGGAGGGATGTAGTAACCCCTACCGTGTTAGGTGGTGTTTGGAACTGATTGCGTCTTTTTTTAAAAACGGAAACAAAATCAAAATCAGTTTTACTGAAGCTAGTCTCTCTGAGCTTCTAAAAAATTGTTTCTAGGAATAATTTGAAGTTTTACTTGGATTGAAATTTGCTGGTATGGTCTGCTCTGATCTGATCTGGTAAATGTCTGATCTCTGTGTATTTTACAATTATCCAAGTCTGATATGGTCTAGCCTGATTCAGTCTGATATGGTCTGAAAATAGTCTAAATAAAACATGTGAAAGAAAAAGCACTAGCAAATCGTAAAAATCAACTCATGATAAAAAAATCGTAAAAATCAACTCACCGCCAAATCGTAAAAATTCCACTTTTCGTATCGTGACTATTATACCTCTTCCACCATTAGTCCCTTACTTTCAGATTGTCCACATTTAATCCGTGACCATCATCCCCTCACCACCCCTCGTCCTTTTGGCCAAAATTCTGTCAAATTTAATGCAGATTTTAGGTATGAAAAACCAAATTTAATGCAAAGACTGATACGAAAAACCCAACCTTATATAAAATTTATTGCAAAGACTGATTCTGAGGCTGAAAAGTGGATTAAATTTGCTAGAATTTTGGCCAGAAGGACGAGGGGTGATGAGGGGATAATGGTCACGGACTAAATATGGACAATCTGAAAGTAAGAGACTAAAAGGGTGTTTAGAACTGATTCTGATTCTGATTCTGCTTCTTTTTTAAAGCAGAAGTAGAATCAGAATCAGTTTTCAGAAGCTGGTCACCCCCAGTTTCTAAAAAAACTGATTCTAGGAGTAAATTAGAGCACCAGAATCACTTCTGCACTTTTACCCAAACACTCCAACATCTCCTTCTGCTCCCTGAAGGAGCAGAAGCAGTTTTAAGAATCAAATTCAAACACCCCCTAAATGTGGAAGTGTTATAATAGTCATGGGACCAAAAGTTGAATTTTTTGTTTCTTTTTTAATCAACTTTTTAATACTTTCAGCCGACTTTAGGTTCTCAATACGGCCTCTCAAACACCTGGACCTACGTCGATCGTCGGCTAGAGCCTAGAAGCGAGGTACCGGTTCCGCCTTCCAGATTCAACGCAAAGAGTATACGATATGTTGACGCACAGATGAAAGTCGACCATCGACAAAGAGACGACCGGCTTACAGGCTTCAAGGCTCCAGCTTCCCAATTCGACGAAGATACGAGCGGCTTCCAATCCTTCCAATATCCCAATTTCAGGAGCGGCTTCCAATCCTTCCAATATCCCAATTTCAGGTTTTATAAGTTATTAATCTAATTCTTTCAACTCCTGTTTTGTTTTATCTTTCAATTCCAGGTTTTATTGTATATTTTTCTTGCTTCGTTGGTGGATAAAACTGCTATGATAAAGTGTTGAGAATATGCCTGAGAGGGAGGAATACCATTTGGCCCCATGAGGAGGGAACATTCAAACTGATGTTATGCTAAATGGAACTCCATTGAAGATCTAACACTATGATATTCCCACTTTGAACCCAAAGTTGTTTGACCCTACCTTACCCATCACTGTTCAACTTGATTCCATTGTCTTTGCTACCCTCAAAGGCTTTAAGGACCCTGCTTGTGCTTAGAAAGTACAATATTCTGTTTGTTGCTCAGGTTTGATTTGTTTTTGACTAGCATGAACCATTAGCATTTGTATACATTTTTCTTTTGTTTAACCTGGATAAATAGTTCATTTAATGAGGAAACCTTTTTAGTACCAAAGAAAAAAAGAAAATCATCATGTGGCTAGGAGGAGGAAAGTAAGAAACTGATGCCTATTAGATATACTCTAAATAGACTATCTGTAATAGTTTTAACTATTGTTAGAGTCTCGGTTATAAGTCAGATGAGTTTGTTATGACTTAAGCCAATTCTATAAATACTTGTACTGATGCTTCAGATCTGAATAATAAGATTTCACTCTTTACCTCTTATCTCTCTTAGATTTCTATCATGGTATCAGAGCTTTAGCTCGATCCATTAATGGCGATCTCCGATGACTCTTCTCAGTCCTCGAGTGGAAACTCTGGCAATCCTACCTCTCCTGTTATTTTCACACATCCTCTTCCAGTTAAACTCGAAAAAAACAATTTCTTATTCTGGAAACATCATGTTGAGTCTGTTGTTCGTGCGCATAAGCTTCTTCGTTTCATTGTAAAACCGATCATTCTGAAGCAATTCAATACTGATGCTGATGAAGCAGCTGGTAATGTTAACGAAGCTTATGCTGTTTGGGAGCAACGGGATCGGATGTTGTTCTCCTGGTTATTGGCTTTGCTTTCCGAGTCTCTAAACGCTCGTGTGATTCATTGCAGGCATTCGCACCAGCTTTGGAGTGAAATTACTATTTTCTTCAAGTCGCAGATTGTCGCGAAGTCTAGACAACTCAAATCTGAGTTGTATAATGTAGAAAAATGTAGCATATACATGTTATTTTTATTATTTGTACATCCGGGACTGTATAGATAGGAATTAGAGTTGATATAGGTCTCTAATTCTTAGATTAGCTCGCAGATTAGATAGAATAGATAGATCCTAATTTTTAGGATCTGTAACAACTTTAGTTTATCTGTAACTTGTATATATATCATTGCTGGATGGCTCAATAAAATACAAGGAAGATTAATTCTTCAAACTTACATGGTATCAGAGCCTTGTTGTTTAAAACACCATAATGGTGGACACTGAACACTCTGATTCCTCCACCCACTCACAAACCCATCACCCTAACCCCCAAATTAGCCAAATGACAAATTACCAGGCCTCAGTTAATTCATCTATGCCCATTACTGGACATAGATTGAATGGAACCAACTACCTAGAGTGGTCACAGTCTGTCAAACTGGCAATAGATGGAAGAGGAAAGTTGGGATACATAACGGGTGAAGTAGAGGAGAAGAAGAATGGTGAAGATGGCTACAATGTCTGGAGGTCAGAGAACTCTTTGGTAACAGCCTGACTTCTCAGTTCAATGGATGCATCAATCGCCAAACCTCACATGTTCATGAGAACTGCAAAAGAGGTATGGGATTCAATTAAAGAAACCTACTCAGATCTTGAGAATTCTTCTCAGATCTATGAATTAAAAACAAGGTTGTGGCAGTCCAAACAAGGAAGTAGAGATGTCATCTCATATTATAATGAGATGGTATCTCTATGGCAAGAGTTGGACCAATGCTATGATGCTGAAGACTGGGAAAGTGCCAAGGATCTGGCAAGACACAAGAAGAGAGGAAAATGACAGGGTCTATATGTTCCTAGCAGGAATGAATAGAGACCTAGATGAAGTAAAAGGCAGAATACTGGGGAAGAAACCCTTGGCCTCAATCAGAGAGGTCTTTTCTGAGATCAGGTTGGAAGATAGCAGGAGGAGGGTCATGTACAACACTCCAGTACCTAATGAGGAACCTGGGGAATCTTCAGCTTTGGTGGCCAGAAGTGATGACAACAAGAAAAAACCTTGGTGTGACCACTACAAGAAATTGTGGCACACAAGGGATACATGCAGGAAACTTCATGGAAAACCACCCGGAGCTGGAAAGAAGAAAGTAGAGAGGGCCCTACAAACTACTGTGACTGAGACTCAACAAGAGTCAGGAGTTGAATCTAAACAACTACCATTCACTCAGGAACAGATAGAGTACCTACTCAAATTCATACCCACCCAGAAAATCTCCAACCAAGAAAACCCTACCTGTTCTTTTGCCCAAAATGGTAAAATAACATCATTTTTTTGTTCTGAAAAACCAAAAAACACCCGGGTCATTGACTCAGGTGCAACAGACCACATGACCTACATTCCAAAGTTTTTTTCTTCTTATCAACCTTGTGCAGGAGATAAGAAAGTTAGGGTTGCAGATGGCTCTTTTTCAGCCATAGCAGGGATGGGAAATATTAAAATTTCCTCATCCATTAACATTTCCAAAGTCTTACATGTTCCAAAACTTTCCTGCAACCTTATCTCTATTAGCAAAATAACTAAAGACCTTCAGTGTTGTGTAAAGTTTTATCCCTCTTATTGCATTTTTCAGGATCTGGCATCAGGGAGGATGATTGGTAGTGCTAGAGAGGAGGATGACCTCTATACTTTTGATGAAGGAACACAATTGAATAAACAAGGTCAAGAAAAAACTTGTTTGCAAACTATTTTCTTTCCTTGTAATAATAAAGTGTATTTAATGCACTATAGATTAGGTCACCAAAGTTTTCTTATCTGAAAATGTTGTTTCCTAAGTTATTTCATAATAAAAATCCTTCATCATTTCATTGTGATATGTGTGCACTTGCCAAACATCATAGGAGTTCTTATATCCCTCATAGTTACAAGCCAACTAGTCCTTTTACTATTGTACACAGTGATATTTGGGGTGCATCTAGAGTTCCAACTCTGAAAGGAAAAAGGTGGTTTGTAACTATTATAGATGATCACACACGGGTCACATGGGTGTTTTTACTTAAAGAAAAATCTGAGATTGAAGAAGTGTTCAAAAAATTTTACTCAATGATCCAAACTCAATTCAACACTAATATCAAAATTGTAAGAAGTGATAATGGTCTTGAGTATTTTTCTAAGAAGTTAAATAATTTTTTTTGCTGAAGTTAAACTCAATTAGCCCTTCTAGGATTAGATTTTACTCCATATCATTTAGAGTTTAGGATATAGGGGATGTTTGTTTATCGGCGGATTCAACCTTTAAATGCTGGATTTACCAGCGTTTTCCTGTATTAAAAAACGGCGGTTCCACCCCACCCGTGACCCGCTGAATACCAAACAACACCATAGTGTTTTAGTAATGCTGACTGGCATTACCACATTAGTGATCTGGATGGCGGTGGCAGACAACGACCTAGGTGGTGGCAACAATGGAAGTGAAAGGGGTGGGGGTGATCTAGGCATCTATTTAGCGTCTTAGCATATTAGTGTTTTGCTGCTCGAAAGGCAAAATAATAAATTTACGATCTTTAAATCTAACTTGGACGTATTAAATAAAATGTATACATAGTGGTCAAAATTAGTTGTGTGTGTTTTAGCTGACAACTTTTCTTTCTAAGTATACTTTTTGCTAAAAGTCTTCTTTGTTAAATTCACTGTACCCTCTAAATTCATACCTAAGACAAACTAATGACATCTAGTTGAGTGAATAGAAGAGAGATATTAGAAACTTTGTGATTCAAAGTTCCCAAGTTCAACTCCCACGAGGGACTTTTGATGATACGTGACAAATGAAGATTGACCCGATGGAAGTAAGCGGCTAGATTGAAGATGTGTCCTTAACAAACGATCACTTGAGAATGAGTCATTATTAACATCGGTTGGATATATTAAGAACTTGTGAGTCAATGTATAAGCCGTGCTTATCTTTTCAAGAAAGAACTTTATCAATTCAGGACCTAAAAGACAGGCTAACTATTAATCAAGAATCCGAGAGGTGAAAATCATCGATATGAGGTCCGGATGATTGAAAGCCTAAAAACTAAAGTATACTAGTAATAGATTTTAATTAATTAATTTATTTATTTTTAATTTTTGAGGATTTCTGCTTCACAAAAGTTTCTTATTTCAATAAAATTAAGTAATATTTAAAAGATTTAAAATAAAACAAACAGAATATCCTTGACTTGTAGGTCCTAGATTGATACTTCCTCCGTCCCACTAAGATTGTCGCGTTTTACCTTTACGGGAAATCCCACTAAGATTGTCCCATACCAAATTTGGTAAAGTTTGTGTGGTTCTAAATCATTTTTACTTTATTCTTACTTTATCAATTTAATAACAACCACAAAATCCACTTTTCTTAATATTTGTGTCACCATCTCTGGTCCCAATCTTAGTGGGACAGAGGTAGTAGTTTTTAATCATTTGAGGCGTTGAGCTTTATATCCACTATTTTCATCTTTCAAATTTCTTGATTGATAGTTAACCTATTTTTATAGTGGTGCTTTCATAAAATTCGTTTCAAAAATTAATCAGACATTAGCCTCGAACAGCTTTAATAAAAATAGGTGAGACAAAATTTGGGCTGTCAAAAAAATAACATTCATCTAAGAACAGGCCCATGCCAAATTCGTACCCCTAGCTTTGTTTTCATTCTTGCGCCAAATGTTGTTCTTCATCCGTCCTCTGAATCTGAATCTGAGCAAGTGAATCTGCGCAAGTGCTTTTGCTCTTCCATGTTATACAAAGGTTGATTTTTTTCATCCCTTTATCTTTACCTTCATATCATTTTTCGCTCTGAGCAAACATCTTGTGCTTAGTTTCATCTTCTTCCATTCTCTTCCTCTGTTCTATTTTTATTATGATTTATGGGGAACTCTACTTTTTGTGTTATGGAGTGAAATGGGGCGAACTGGAACATGGAAAGAGCGAGGAAGGGAGATTTATCTAAAGCTTCTTGCCTCATGCCATTTTATTAAAGCTTCTATGATTTCTGATGTAGATGTCATTCATGAAAGGCGATCTGCTACGGAGAACCCGAAAACTCGTTAAAGGATTCGCCAAAGCCGAACCTGTGTGGTTCAAAGCTATGGAAAAGTATGTAGTTCTTATCTATTTCTCCAAATTATTTCTCTTTTTTATTCAGTTTGAGCTTCATAAAAATATTTTTGTGTGCTTCCAATGCCTCAAGTTTTAGTGATTATAATGAATGATGTTTTCAGATAATCCTCTCTGATAAGAACATGTAAAATTTGGATAATTTTCGTAAAGACTATGTTCTAAGTAATCTAACTTTGCAGTGCACCACCAGCTACATTTCCTCGAGCAGAGAATAAAATTAAGCCAATTACCCTTCCTGAGGATGCTTATGTCAAGAAGTTCTTTCAGAAAAATCCTTATGCTATATCAGAAGACGCAATTGAGTATGCTGTCAACCCTTACTTTTTAAGGATCAATTCCGATGTGTCAACATAGTTTGTTATCCTAACTAGGTAGAACACTTTGAGATGAATTTCAATATGCATTTTAGTGTATACTCTACATGAACCGAAATTTTGCATTTCTGCGTGGAACTCTCTATAATGTGATGGATTCCTTTCGCCACGGTTAAGACTAAGCAAATGGTGTAAAACATTCTAAGAAGGTTTCTACAAGTAGTTTCTAAAAAGGAAACATGTTGATGTCTGTAACATGTTATTTCTCCCTTTTTTGAGTGTCCTTGTTTCATAGGTATTAAGCAATAAAAGAGAAAAGGTGGATTATACATATGAAATGAAATATTTACTGTATGCTACTTTATTTAAGCCCCATAGAAAGTTGTAGTTTTTCTGATCCCTTACATGTGACAGCTTACTATGGCTGCATCGCTGCACTAGTTTTGATTGACCTAAAAGGCTGCTCACTTGATACATACATATATACACATAAAAAAATACACATATACATACACACACACACACATATACAGAGTAGCCTTCATGTCCACCCGGCGTGACGGGAACTTCCGTTTAGCCGAGACCATTTTGGAGCCTTTTCCGGTGGGATTTTTGATGAAATTGTTTGAGCATGTTCTTCATCAAGTCTAATTTATGCCCACCAAATTTCAGCTAAAAATTCAATCGGGAAGTCACTCAAACGTGTAATTGAAAAACACTGCCCTATATATATATATATATATATATAGAGAGAGAGAGAGAGAGAGAGAGAGAGAGAGAAGAGTTCAAATAAAAAGAGGTGCTCCCGTGCAAAGTGTGAACGATTGCACTTTTTCCTCACCGCGTTGCACTATTTCATGTTTCTGTTGCACTTTTTCGCGATGACAGAAAAATTCGGTTTATTTACGAAATTGCCACCGCGTTTTTGATCAAATTTAGTTCATTTTTGGCTCATTTTGAGCCACTCGATCTGAAAATGAATGCACGAGATTAATTCTCACTTTGCATGGGAAGACCTCTTTGTATTTGAACCCCCCCTATATATATATAAAGCACAGTGTTCTTAAATAATTTATTTAACTGCCTTCATGATTGAATTTTTAGCTTAAATTTGGTGGGAATAAACTAGATTTGATGAATAACATGCTTAAAAAGTTTCATAAAAAAACTCGACCGGGAAGGGCCCCAAATGGCCTTGGTGAGACCGGAGTTCCCGTCAGGCGGTCCACACAAGATTTGCATATGCATATGCATACACTTTAATCGTTTTGATATCTTAAATACTTGATAGCTTTCGTGGATGCGACCCACCTCCAGCACGTTTGTTTGGATGTCGAGTGGTTGAGTTGAAGGAACAAGGAGTTCATGAATGTGATGCTATAACTGTTGCTGATGTATGATGGTCTTTCTTGTGTTACATTATTATATCCATCTACCATTATTTAATAGTTGCCCAGATTAAACTCATTATGCACGCTGCTTAAATTTTTGTTAGGTGGAGTACCAAACAGAGAAAAGGGCAAAAAAGAAGGCATATGCTCGAATGAAGCAAATAGCACGCGTTCAAGGGAAGGAACCACCTCCCAACCCCTATCCTAAAGCTTACAAGGAGATACAAGAAGAAGAAAGGCCATTTGTATGTGACCGTTTCAACAACCCGAGCATCCTGAGAATTGCAGAAAAACTTAAAGCAGAAAGGGAAGCCGAGTTCAGAGAGAGAGGAGGAGGAGGTAGGTAAAGCAGGCCGTTGTTGTCACCAGTCACCAGCCCTTTTTTTATTTTGTTCTTTTTGAATCTGATGGCTTTCCTCTTGGCCAACAGAACTAGGGATATCCTTATAGTTGAATTTCTCTGAAAAGTGGTGGTTACCTTGTGTAAGCTCACATGGCTACATCTTAAAATTTTACTACCACCTCTCGTTGATCGCTTTCAATATTTTGTGAGTTATGTCTATTGACTTGCTGATCTTGAAACCATGGCAGCTGTATCCCTTTGTGCCATTTAAAATGGCAAAAACATCTGCAAAATTGCTTAGTGATTGTATGTTAACCAGTGTTTTCCCCAAACACCATACTTTTTTCCCGCATGTGCAAATTTTTTATAACATACGTAATATATATTTATTGTTTTTATTTTTTTTGAAGTTGCAGTTTGATGGTTTTATCCATATTTTAATTTTAATGTTAATGAAATATATTTGAAATATTTTTTTTCACGACTGTTCAACAAATGCAACCCTTTTAATTGCATAGTTTTGGAAGATTCAACTGTCTGAGCTGTGTGCCTGTGTCCGGCAAAACAGTTGGGTATCAGATTCATTTTGTACATCACAGCTGCGAGACAGAGGCTGGTGCATGCGTGTATAACAACAGATTTTGTAGGTTCCACCTTTCAGCTACTACATGGACCCAGACGGCCAGACATAAGGGAAATTCTTATAAATAAATATTTATAAATAAAATTACTTTTAAAATCCAATTCGCCCTTGTAATAATACAATCACAATATGTTGTTATACTATACGTACGCAGGAACAACCTCCCCAGATGAGCACCCTCCATGCATCCATTCAAGCGTGCCGGCTTCACAACTGCCGTGGCTGGAACAACACAGGGATGTTGACGACACACACACAACATATGCACAAAAGATTTTTAAACGCACCACAAAAACACAAGAACTATTCCCGGGTTGGATCATTTCCGGTTCTTCCGCTTTCATTTTAATTCTATAGATTTCACTTTGAGCAATCCATACTCGTTAGTCGTTATGCATTTTGTGAAGCACCCTCTCCACCAAACCCATTTCTTCTTTGAGATGGTTGATCTGCTTATCTGTAAAGAAAAATGTCTCGGCCATTGCATTCATGCTACTATGGACACAATCTCCTTGGGAATCAAATGGATATGTTGAGGACTTGAGGTCTACTTAACAGTTAACAGCAACCACCAAGGTGCAAAAGTATAATAAAATGGTACACAATGTCTTGTAATCTTGTATACTGTAATGAGGTGTACTTCCAAACCACAGCTCAAAAGGGATTGGATTCAAGTTTCTGAGAGCCAATTGAACTACGGAGTATTAATTACACTAATGAATTTCATTTTATAAAATTGTTTCATTTTGGGAAGGTCTTACTTTTGTTCTATCCCTGGGACCTGGGTGAGAATTGTGCAATTGAATTGAAGGTATGAGAGGGGATATGCGTTGTGCAACCAAGTCACCCACGATGTGCAAGCAAGTAGGTGTAGCTAGATGTGGTGGCGGGGCGCCCGTCTCGTCGCAGACATGGAGGTCCTGTGCCCGATAGCGCATAGACGAGGGCAGTGACTGCCAAAGTGATTGTGAGGTGATGAAGCCGGCGGCGCCAAGTGTACCGCTGTCCACAGGCCACAGCTCCAGGAAGCCCCGCAAGTAGAGAACCACCTGAGGGCTTTCCCCCTTCTCTGCCAGATGCATGATGATTCTGTTCACTTTCATCTAACAAAGCAACTATAACTAAATTACGTAGTGTTCGACCTAAAATATGTTGAACACTGAAATAGCGTAAAAGTTATATATTTGACATTATAAGTTAAGTTTAACAAACTAATACAGAGTAGTTAATTAAGACAAAAATGTCTTGGTAAATAAATAAATATACTTTTGATTAATATTTTTTTTGTAAACATTTTCCAACTCCTACTAGTGGATTTTTTCATTGTAATCTCATACTTCCTCAATTTGTCACTATAAAATTATAGCGGTTTGGGGTTGTTGGACTTAGAAGTTATGATTCATGTTTTGTATTTTACCTTATGGTCTTTATTAGTTAAACTTCGCAGTTTTCAGTATAAGATATATTTTTCATGTGATCTTTTTCCGATATATATAAAATGTATACATTTTGGAGCAGAATACACTTAAAATGCACATTACTTTTGTATTATTGTAATTGATTAAATTGATTTTATTGTTGAAATGATTTAATTTGTTAATGGTGTATATTATAAGTATACTTGTGTAATGTCTTGTAATATTAGTGTAAAAATGATGTAATTGATTGGGCTAAACTTGCAAGTATAAAAGTGTCGATGTAGTAATAAATACCGGTAAAATACTAGGTCGAATCCACATGGAAATGTCATTCTATAAAGTTCAGTGTAAGGAATAATTGTAATTAGATTTTGATGTTGCTCTATTAATTAGGATTTTAGAGTACCCCTCTTTAGAAAATTGTATTAGAATTTTCCTTGTGATAACATTCTTAGTATAGTCGACTCACAGAAGATCTCCTAACAAAAGACCTTTGGCTCTCTGTTGATTCATATCCGGACAGAAGACCTCCTGGTTCTCTGTCGGACTTCACTTTGACAGAAGTACTCAAGGATCTCTGTTAGCTTCTATCTTGACAGAAGGACTAGGGACCCTCCGGTAGCTTTTATCCCAACAGAAGTGCTCGAGACTCTCTGTGGTTGGTTCTCTGCTAAAGATACCAGAAGGTCTGACACTTAGAGAATTTTCATAAATCTACCTTAGCCGGTGAAACCAACGGAAGATTCCTTCAATGACTAGAAGACTTCAACGGAAAAGCTAAAGTACACACATTAAATGCTCATAAAATGCACCCCGTACGCTGAAGAGTAAAAGCTGATGATTGGCCGATATTTCATGATATCTTTATCCCAAATAGCAACTCGCCAACTTTACCGGGTCCTACTGGTCAAGTCAACTGTTCACGCATTTAATGCAGTTGTCATCCTCCTTCAACGGGAAGACAACCCCAATATATAAAAGATACTACTCGAAGAACAACTAGACAACTTTGCTAGAACTTTTGCACAACTCTTGACAACCTATTCAACAACAAGCTTTCTTGAGACCAGAACTTCATCATCTCAAACAAGATAAGCTTCAGTTGGAAAGATAACATTTTCATATCTTCACATTCCAACAAGAGCAAAGTTCCAACTGTTATTCAACACTTCAAGCACTTCAACTACACATCTTTTGTGACGAAGCAAGTTGGAAAACCCCTATTCTTAAAAGAACTCTTCTCGAACGAGAAGGACGTCTAAGTAGCTGGAGTAGTGAAGTGGTTATACTTCAAGGAAGCTCAGTGAAAGGACCAGTCTTAAAGGAAGCCAAGAAGTGCATCCCAGGAGACATCTAGGCTTGAAGAAGACGTGGAGAGCTTCTTAAGTGCTAGGACTAAGGCGTTGTAATCTGAGTTTTTACAAGCTTAGTGGAACAGTGGATTACAGGAATGAGTTGTTCCTTGAACCACTATAAAAATCTCCGGTGTCATTTACTTACTGCATTTAATTATTGCATTTACTTTAAACATTTTAACTCCAGAAACTTGGTCTCTGTGTTCAGCAGAACCCGTCATGTGAGTTAACAGAAGGCCTATTTGTTAGGAAATTGATGTAACGTACCTCGAAAGTACGGCAGCGGAAGTTTAAATTTTTCCCAAACAGATTTTTCCTGATTATGACAAAACAACGAATATGATAATAATAACAGATTTGAGTTAGAACTTACAGATCTTCCAGCCTAGCGGTGATAATCCTTGACCTTAGGTATCCACGTGATTTCTCCTCTCCGAAAGAACGATTAGATCTCCCTTTAGAGAAAGACTAGGAAATCTCTTCGCAGGGAAATAAACTGGTAATACTGAATCTAAAATTCTACAATGAATTATGAAGGAGGAGTATGTATTTATACTAGTTCTAAACTAGTTTCCTAATCACAATGAAAGTCTTTCTCATTAATGAGTTCTAGTCCTGCTAGGACCAATACTCCTAATTAATTAAATAATTAGATAAAACAAAACAAAATAATAATAATAATAATAATTGAGATGTGGCTGCACGCCACTTTCTAATTATTATATATTATTATTTATTTTATTTACCTTTTCTTTTTAATTCCAAATTACAAAAGAAAATATCTACTTTATTTAATAATAAATACATCTTATTTAAGTATGATAAATCTAATTTATCTTACTTAATTAATTCTATCAAATAGAACTCTCCTTCACCTTTATGAATTAAATACGTCTAATCTAATTAATATTTAATCCATTTTCAGTATTACGAATTAAATATTATTTAATCCAATTAATAATATTTAATTCCTTCTAACAATTCAATCGGAAGGTATAATCACTTGTTGTGTGACCCATAGGGCCTTGTATATTAAGCACTAATCAAATTAAGGTCTTAGTAGAATCCCTAGACGATTTACCAGACAAACTTAACATATAAGGACGTTTGCGAGGACTATTCAAACTCCATGTAATATAGAGTTCATAGTGATACGGTCCTTTCATTCAGCGAACATTCGACTAAGTCTAGAACATGATATTGTGTCTATTCCAATAACTCAGTCTCTGTCTCTCAATCTTTCTAGATGATCTTTAACGATCATATTCGATATCCAAAACGAATATATCTTTGCATTGGCCAATGACTTTATGATCCATCTAGATATGAGAAGTAGAATGTTCTCTCCTAATCTATTATGAGGAATGAATCCTTTCTTGGCTCAACTACTACTCCATGTGCTTCGTGATGCACCCAACACATGCCGTATCTACCCCGATTGGAGTGCAAGCGTTGGTCATGGTCAAAGTACATCACTCCGCACATGTAGTACGTATTGACCTCAAGTCGGAGGACTATTACACTACTCTATACGCCGATAATCCCATAGACACATGAATAGAACTTATCAAATGGTTTCTCGGTGGGTATGCCAATATTCTCTAAAATATCTATGTGACCATCATGAATTACAGGAATTCATAGTTGTGAGATCAACTATACTTTCTAAAAGTATGATGCAGTCCACATACCAATCTTATCGCATATCATCAATATCCCTTTCTTGATGATCATTGATTGAGGCTATTTTAGGACTTTATGTTATATCATATAAGCTCTCACTTACTTAGTGACAACATAAATCCAAGGGAACACAATTATGAATAAGATATTGGCAATCGAAATACTTAATCATCAATGTGTAATACCGTTTATATCAAATATATAAAACTGAATGTGATCAAGTACATATATCTCTAAAAATGATTGT